CTTAACATATGAAACAAAAATCATGTCCCAAGTAGGTTAGAACAAAACGACGTTTGATGCAATAATAAAACTGGCTCCAAATTAATTACGAATGAAATGTGGAATCCCTAATAAGTTAAAATTTACTAATGTTTTGGAAATTTGCCTTGGAGCCTACATAAAACAAACCTACAACGTTTGGCTTGAAATACCATACATACATAACTAGCTACGTGTCATTCTCTCCCTTTAAGAGTTAAAAAAATAAAACAAACAAAACAATTCAAATTTCATCAAGTTCACACCAAGTCATATATAAGTTCATCAGGATATTTTGAACATGAAAAAGTTAGCTTTTTTAGCAACGAATACATCGTTTTTTCCTTGATCAGTAATTTAAATTTTACATAAACAAACATAATACGAGAAACTACTTTCGTATATAACTTAAGAGCATCTAGATGGCACCGAACACATTAAACTATACTTTTGCACACCAACTTGGTCATTGAAGTTGAAATTGTTTATGAATAAATTTGAGCATTAAATACAAAGTAATCAAACTGATCAACAAGTTTTGTCACTTATTAGATTATTATGAGTTTACTTAATGAAAAATATACAAGACCTGGTACTTATGGCTTGAACAAAAAGTACAAGTTGTACTTCATCTCCAGGACTTGAAGGAACCCTGCATGCACATGCATGCAAAAATGCATCATTTTAAAAATATGATTTCTGTGTTTTTTTATACTTGCAACACACACCCATGTTTGAGGATGTGATTAAACTAGGTAAATGGATGAATTAAGCTGTAAAATATAAACCGTAATAACTTATCACTTCTTTCTTATCAGTGGTAAAATTTTATCAATTAATTTATTCGTTTACCTATTCTAATATCTCCTCTTAAAATGCGTGCCAAAGTGGTATGTTTCAAGTAAATAAAAATAGAGGAAGTATCATAAAGCAACGAACTTACGAACATTTGAGGTGGTGTTGTATAAACTAATTCATTGTTATATTTTCAATGTTCTCCGCATTATATGCTTTAATTTGGAGAGCAATAGATAGGAATGAAGCATCATTGTTCAAATATACTAATTTTGCAATAATTTTACAACTTCCAATTAAAGAAAAATATTTTTCGAATAAAATAAAGGAAGTATTTATGTAATTACAAATATTAATGGTGAAAGATATTAATTGTCAAATGTGCATGGTCAAAACAATAACATAAAAAGAGACGTAACGAGTATTAAATCATAAATTTTAATTTATTAATTGGAAGGAGAATTTGTTATACTAAAATGTGCTCAATTTTTTTTTATCTACTATGCCATACAAAGTACATAACAGATAAAAATAATGGGATTTTTTTTTCCAATTACTACCCAGATCGAACAACTAAGGGCGCTTTGTTAAGTACTACCCTTAAAAATGTGTTAGTTGAGATGAAATTCTACAAGAGGGGGGGTGAATTCTACAAAGTACATAACAAAATATTAAAGGAACTTGCAATGCACACAAGATTTTACGAGGAAATCTTGCAGGGCCCAATTGGAAGTAAAACCTCGACCCTCCAAGGGATTTCAAAACCAAACACTTCATTATAATAGGCAACACTCCTAGTTACAACCTATATATTACAATCACAGACATTTCTCACAAGTTCCTGATTGAACTTTCTACTCGATAGGACGACCCTATCCTACCCAACCTAAGTCTCGGATTTAGATTCCTCACAGCACCTCCCACAGAACTAAACACTCGACTTCACTCTCAAAGCCTACCACACTGTATGAAAAAGCTAATTCACTCACCCAATACCCAAAACTATACAAATACTTGAATCTAATATGTGATTAGAAAGCTACACATGAAATCCGAAACTAATATGACAAAGCTATTAACTTGGCAAACTTACTTTTTAAGCACTCATAAGATTTTCACGCATAAACTCACAAGTTGTATCAATAATGAACACTCCTTAATTTATATACAAGAACTCTTGTAAGTAAAGTAGGGTTTTCAAAAAATAGAAAACATAAAACTGTCGTTTAATAAAAACCCTTTGTGAAATAAATCTTTTGAAGCAAATCTTTTGGAAAACTTAAGAAAAATATAATTTGGAAAAGATTATCATTTTGTAAATAATATTTATAAGATAAAATCTCTCAAAGATTTTTCCTTAATTTAAAACTTATCATTTTAAAACTTTCCATAATATCAAGCTTGCCAAGCTTTGTCATGCTTCAATAGATTCCATGTATATTTAACCAAACAAATTTACACCAATCCTAGCAAGAATAAACTTAACAAAAACCTTAATCAAAAGACTTTTAGTCTATTTGCCGAATTGCCTCCTCAAGCTTCACATTGTATGAATACTTGGGCTCTACACAGACGAGGACCAAGTTCCTGTTGTCTTCAACACTCAGCTCCTTGCTGGGACTCGCAGTCCAAGTTCTTATGGAACTTGTTGTCTTCAATGCGGTCCAAGCTAGTCTAGTCAGCTTGCTGTCAAGCTCTTGTTAGGAAGCTTCCCTTTGTGTTCCTTTTAGGGATCACTTCTAGTTCCAATGAGGAACTCTTCTTCTATTCTATTTGTCTTTCTTTTGTTTCTCCTTGGATCTTTATAGATAGGTTACTCTTCCACTTCCAAAGTCAACTTCACTTGTTCTAATTCAATACTTAGATAAATCGTATTAGTTGAAGTTTGCATATCCATCATCATCAAAACTTCTTAAGGTTCAACAATTCCCCCTTTTTGATGATGACAAACTTAGCAAACTTCGAGCAAGAAAGCAAATAGAATAGAAGGTTCGTACTTTTGTATTTTTGAATTTTTAACTAAAAATTAAAACACACAAAAAAAATAGAACTTAAGAAAACCAAAAATAAGTAAATTAAACTAAGCTACTATATACAATATATCAAAGAAATCTTTGATACTTTATCAATTGGAACCCAGAACAACTGCACTTTCAAGTTTGCTTCTTCTTTTCCCCCTTTTGGCATTATCAAAAAGTCCTGCAAGTTAAGTTATTAGACATCTAAACACAACCCGACATGCAATTCATAGAGTGTGGGAAACTGAAGGCAACGCTGACTAGCTCCCTTTAGCTAGAACCTTCACACAATCTTGCACATGCTTTCATACTGTACTATGGACACATATATAAGCAAAGTTCCAATTTGTCATAAAAACCAAAAGATCACCTAGTTTTAAAAATTACAAACCAAAGTTCCAAAAAACCAAAACAGAATTAAAATTGTTCATGACATAAACAAAAAAGAGAAAAATGGCTAAGGCTGGGCTAGGGTAGGCTGCAAGAGGTAAGCTGATTCAGGATTCAAGGATGGCAAGAATCTTCTTATTGTCCTCCTTGTATGCTTCAATGCTGGCATCGAGCTTTGCTTCTAGACTCTTGATGGTCTTATGGAACTCGACCTGCTGTCCCTTAAGACTCTTCTCAAGACCCTGCACACTCTTTTCCAGCTTCTGAACTTTCCCTATAGCTTCTTTGAGCTGCTTCTCTGCAACCTCAGCTTTGTCTGTAAGTTCAGCAATCTGCCTTGCCACAACATTATCTTCCTCATCAAGTTCCAAAGGTTCCTCCATGGTAATTTGAGGAAAGGAACTTACTGATAGCTTTCTTCTCTTTCTCACAGGCTCACCAGACTTTTCTCCTTCCCTCTTCTTCCAACTAGCTGCACTTTTCTTTTCTTTTACCCTCTCAATCTTCCCATTCACTACAGCTAGACTTATCCCCAGCAAATGACATTATCTTCTTTTTCATTCAATCTACCATAAACTCCCTTGAGTTTCACTCTAAGAGTTTCAAACACCGTGGATAGCAATGCACCATACCCCATTTTGTTCTTGTTAGGAACACAGTGAGCTAGATGTTGATACATTAAAGAAAGAAAGTTGATTTTATCTAATCTTTTTCACCAAGCAGAAAATCACAGCCATATTCAACATACTTGCTTCATTCTTCTTTTGAGTTCTAGGCATGATAGTTTTCTTCACCAAATTAAACAACAATTTATTCATAAGGCTCAACTTATTGTAATTCAAGATGTTAACTCCCCTTTTACCTCCCAAAAACTCAAATATATCACCACCTAAATAATTCCCCACTTTCTCACCAGACTTCCCGTTGATATATGCCTCATAACCCTCAGTATGAACTTTCAGAATAGTCCCCAAGGTCTCAACATCAAATTCAATTTCAACTTTATTGATTTTACTTGAAATTATCCTTCCTTGACTTTAAAATTTCACAGAATTCATTCATAGCCAATGTATACATGCAATTGTTTGAAGATTTAGACAACATATGTTCCCAACCTTGAAAACACAGCAAATCAAGAAATTATATAAACCTAGCTTTTCTACACCAAGTTAAATCAAGCCTATGATGACCAACAACATACCTTCTAGCATGATTTTCCAAGTCATCCTCATCCTCCTCCAAAGGGTCGTTCTCTATCTCAGATTCTTGTTCCCCCTCAGCAAAATCCTCTACCTCCTTGATATGCTCCTCAAGAGATTTTTCCTTCGCTTTCTTCTCTTTCCATTCTTTCAATCTCTTGATAACATCAGATGGAGACGATGCTTCACCACCTGCTGAATTTTCTCTTTTTCAATCGGGTTTTTTCTTGGTGGTTGAGGTAGTGGGTGTGTTCACTTCAGGAACTTCTTTGGGGCAGCCTTTTTAAGTGATTCATAAACCACCATAGCGAGAGGAGATGTTTCTTCTGGTTCAGAATGTTGTGGTGTAGGGATTTTTTTGGTTGATTTTTGCTGGTTTCAATTGCCATGTTTGAAGGTTTAAAGGTTTAAGAGAATTTGATGGTTTTTATTGAGAGTGGTTTTCATGATTTGACAGTGGAGTTAGAAGGTGGGTAAAAGATGCCTTTTATAATTAATGAAGCGATGTGTGGGATATGAATAGAACTTCTGTTCAGTCATTAATTGAACAATTTCTTTTTTTTTTTTTTCAAAATTAATCAGGATGATTTTTTAAACAAAATATTTTCTTTCCAGATTCAATTAATTTCTAAAAATGATATTTTCCAAAAATCAGATGTATTTGGAACACGCTATATACACGCATACATTACACAATACTAATCATACACACATTCAAGTTTTATTGAACTTTTAACCTAGAAATTCACCAATGGTGACGCTTCAGCTATATATGTTTAGCACACCAAGATTGTGCTAGATGTCCTTTTTCCTCGTTTTGCATTATTCTCAACTTTGCCATATCTTGGAACTTCAGAAGCAATCAAGTAAGCTTGATCATCCCAAGTTCCAATCTCAATTTTTCAAATCTTTCTCTGTTCAAGGGCTTGGTTAGGATTTTTGCAATTTGACTTTCAGTTTGACAAAATTCTAACTTAATTTTCCCTTGTTCCACATTATCCTATAGGAAGTGATGTCTAATGTGGATATGCTTGACTTTTGAGTGTTGAACTGGATCTTTAGAAATACATATAGCACTTGTGTTATCACAGCAAATAGGGACACTTTAAAAAATAATACCAAAATCTCTAACCTGTTGCTTTATCCATAAAATTTGTAAACAACATGCTACTGCAACTACATATTTAGCTTCAGCTGTAGATAATGCAACTGTGTTTTGTTTCTTGGAACCCCAAGATACTAAACACGGTCCTAAAAACTGTACCATTCCTAAAGTGCTTTTTCTATTAACCAAATCACCTGCGTAGTCAGCGTTAGTATAACCAATTAAGTCAAATGAGTCACTTCTAGGGTAGAAGAGGCCCAAGTCATCTGTTCCTTTTAAGTAACGAAGGATTCTTTTTCACTGCTATCAAGTGTGACTCCTTTGGGTTTGCTTGGAACCTGGCACACAAACCTAAACTAAAAGATATGTCAGGTCTACTAGCAGTTAAGTATAGCAGAGAACCAATCATACCTTAATACATAGTCTAGTCTATGCTAGTTCAAGTTAGGTTTCCATCAAGTCTGGTTGCAACCCCCATAGGAGTTCTATTGGTTTTGGAACTCTCAAGCTTATATTTCTTAATAAGTTCCTTAATGTATTTTTGTTGATGAATCATAATTCCTTCCTCAGTTTGTTTAATTTGCAAACCAAGAAAGAAATTCAACTCACCCATTATGCTCATTTCAAATTCTCCACTCATGAGATCAGCAAAATACTTGCACAAAGATTTGTTAGTTGCACCAAACAATATATCATCAACATAAATCTGTACAACTAATATGTCTGTTCCTTTTGATTTTAAAAACAAAGTTTTGTCAATTTTTCCTCGTTTAAAATCATTTTTCAAAAGGAACTTGGACAATCTTTCATACCATGCTCTAGGAGCTTGCTTTAGTCCATAAAGGGCCTTGTCAAGCCTATAGACATGGTTTGGGAACTTTGGATTTTCAAAACCAGGAGGTTGTTCCACATAGACATCTTGTTCAAGAAATCCATTTAAAAATGCACATTTGACGTCCATTTGGTACAATCTAAATCCCATAAAAGCAGCAAAAGCTATAAGTAAACGAATGGCTTCTAACCTTGCAACTGGAGCAAATGTTTCCTCATAATCTATGCCTTCTTGCTGGTTGAAGCCTTGAACCACCAGTCTTGCTTTGTTTCTGACTATAATACCATGTTCATCTAGTTTGTTTCTGAACACCCATTTAAGACCAATAGTCTTTTGATGACTTGGTCTAGGTTCCAGATGCCAAACTTTATTTCTTTCAAATTCATTCAATTCAACTTGCATGGCATTGATCCAGTCAGCATCAATTAGTGCTTTCTCATGGTTCTTAGGTTCCATAGAGGACAAGAATGTATAAAATGCACGGAAGTTCCATCCTTAGTTGTGATCTTGTCTGAGTTCCTTTGGCTATGTCACTAATAATGGCATTCACTGAATGTGATCTTTGATGTTTCCAAGGTTTAGGTTGGAAGTCTCTAACCGGAAATAGCCTTTTTTGAGTTGCATCATTTGCTTGCTCTTTTGCTGGAACTACTTCTGGAACTTCCTGTGGAGTTCCTTATGCTTCATCAATTACTTGCTCATGTTGATGAACATTTTTCTCTGTTGCTTCTTGATTTGTTTCACCATCCTTTTCTTACTGTTGCTTCTTCATAGATAATGATTCTTCATCTGGATCATACTTTCGTACTAATCTAATTTCGAAATCATCATCATCATCCTGTACATCAATCAATTGGTCAATTTCATCAAAAATTACATGTATAGATTCTTCCATACACATTGTTCTTTTATTAAAGACTTTGTAAGCTTTACTATTAGAAGAATATCCTAAGAACACTGCCTCATCATTACGTTCATCAAATTTTCTCAATTTTCTTTTTCCATTGTTATGAACAAAACACTTGCAACTAAAATATCTAAAGTAAGAAATATTAGGCGTTCTCCCTTTGATGAGCTCATATGGTGTTTTGTTGGTGATGGCCCTAACAGTGACCCTATTCAAGATATATCATGTTGTATTAATAGCCTCTGCCCAAAAGTTCCTAGGCAGTCCACTAGAAATCAACATTGTTCTAGCCATGTCCTCAAGACTTTTATTCTTGCGTTCAACCACTCCATTTTGTTGTAGAGTCCTAAGTGCAGAGAATTTGTGGTCCATCTCTTGTTCCTTACAGAATTCATCAAACTTATAGTTTTCAAATTTTGTTCCTTGATCTAATCTTAGATACACTAGTTGATGACCTGTTCTTCTCTGTTCTTTCTTCACAAAAGCAACAAACTCATCAAACGTTTCATCTTTTTGCTTACAAGAAAGAATACCC